GAGGGCCTTGAGGTACGATGCCTTGACATCGCGTTTGACAAGGTCGCGGAAGTGCGCCTCGAAGACTGGTCGATCAGACACACAGTCCTCAGGGAACGCATTCCGGTATACTGCGAACTCGGGATTGTCCCATTGCTTGTCTAGGGTAGCCGGAAGGGCATCGACGGCATACGGGTACTGGAAACCGAGACATCAGCACGGCAATGATATCGGCGGGATTGTGCCGCCGTGGGAGTAAGCGCACGGTTGCCCGGCTCGGAATGAAGAATACCACCTCCGTGCCATCGGAGGAGAATTCAAGGAAGTCACCCGGAGGGGGCTGCAAATTACCCGATGGACCAGGGGGTGGGTGGTTGGTAGGAACTTGGGGTGAGACGACATACCAGCACGTCTTTGACGAAGGATATGGGACAAACGGTTCCTTCTGCATATTTGGAAAGTCTCGAATCAGCATACGCAATGTTATCAAGACTTGAATCCGCCAATGCAACAAAATCATCCTGGATACGGTGAGTTCGGCATCTGGTAAGAAAGGTGCTCACCGATATCGAGCAATACGACACTAATAGCGCCGAGGCTGTGGGCCATTGTGTGAGCTGTCTGTAGAGAGAAACTTGGTATTGTGCGTTGTCGTGACAAGGTGAGGCAGCAGGAAGAGAAAAAATTTTAATTCCCGAAGTGACACGTCAAGACAGTGAGACTCTGGGGCGCGACGCGCGAGAAGACTTTTTTCCCTTCCCTCTTTGCAATTGTTTCTTCTCGCTTCCAGATTGAAATCCTTCAGCGGCGTTTCAAAGAACTGTTTACTTCCCAATTCAAGCTTTCCGCAATTCAACGGAGGCAGGTTGATAGGCGCTAGCTAGTTCATGCATGAAGGAGGTGACGGCGGGAGATTAGAAGAAGGCGGTCAAGCCAGCGCCCGGAAGTCAAGTAGGGTCGGAACGGGAAACGCGGTTGCAGACCTGCAGATTTGCCGTATGGCTGCCCAGTGCAGGTGGGAGTTGGTGCGAGATGTGCCTTGTAAGTTGTGTGTGTGTGTTTGTGTATGTGTGCCCGTGTAAGAGAGAAAAGTTGGATTGCGCAACGCCGCAAAGGTGTGTGTGAGTGGAGATGGCGAATAAGGTCGCAGAGGGCTACACCAACCCAGGCCTGCCATGGTAGCAGCCGGTGACATGGCCCAATAGCAGCAGACTGTTAAGACATCGATTGCATGACCAAGGCCTCACACTGAAGCAGCGGTGAAGACTGAAGAGGGAGCACTCAATTGTGGGCGATATCAAGCGGCAGCGGCTGGAATGAGTCCGTCGTCCGCGGACCAGCCGACGCCAGCGGCAGAGTGGCTCTCTCTCTCAAGGCTCATGTAGCGAGTAGGTGGATGAACATTTTGCGGCCGGACGGTGAACTCGGGGGCCGGAAAGGGGGGGCCGGCGGGAAGCTGGTCGCGAGTCCGTCGCGCATTGTCAGGCGGTCTGGTTCCCCACCATCGTGAGAATTTGACAGGTCACCGATGAACTCGAGAGAAACGTAGAGAAGGTCGTCGTCCGGTCCTCGTACGGGCGTCGACGGACCCAAGGACGATGCGCTCGGGTACCTTGCGTGGAGCACGCCGGCCTTGTCCCCAAATCCTTTCAACGGAACGCCTGGTTCAGGTCACCGGCCGAGAAGCCTAGGATTTGACATCTTGGGTAGGCCGCTTATGGGTATCGAGAACCCCGTATCTGCCCGAGATCTATTAAGCGGGATTCTAGAACCAAAACGAGCACGCCAGAAGAGACTGGAGCTATCTCTTAGCTTTGGTTGGACGTTGGAGTTCCTGACAAGTTGACAGGTTGTAACTCTGGAAGTTGAGAGGGCAGATACAAGCGCTGCGGTTAACAAGGCTATTGGGCTGAAGTTCGAAGTGGCTAATGGTTTCCTCACTTTTTTCCTAGTCCGTTCGGGCCCGCTGATTGAACCTCTGACACACATGCCGTGCCCTTTTCGTGCAGTCTCATCGTTGCTGTCCTTCCATCCAATCGTGTTTCTCTGAGATATCAATCCCTGTCACATCTGTGTTCTCGTGGTACGACTATCTCCCTACTTTACGAATACCAACGCCAGAATCCCGCAAGGGGCATGGGGAATCGGGATGCCACCGCAATGCAAACAAACATTGCCGAAACGAACTTGGAATGGAAACGGCGACAGCAGCGTAGTCATCGCAACAGCAAGGGTCCAATGGATTGGTGCCTTGAATTGACAAGCCACACGACTTTTGGACCCCTTTGTTTCTCGGATGCTACTCTGCACGAGTAGATTGGCCTAGAGATGTTTCTGTCCGCATTCGAGCGTGTGGCAGTTGAGCCAGACTACCGCCAACTGCGCCATGCCGTTCTGAAATTATGATGCTTGTCTTCTTCGGTCGATAAAGCTCGAGCTTCGGAGGCGTCCCGCTCTCACGAGCAACATGTTTCGCTGGCATTTGATGGTGATGGGCAGGCCACTAATATTGGTGGTATGTGCCAATGGGCAAGCAGCGGATTGAGGCCGAGCAAGCGGGTGCGGACGGCGTGAATCTTGCCCAATGCCGAACGGACGCAAGATGTACCCAATAATCACGATACGTCACGCCTTCTTCCATCTCCTTGCCATCGTGGATTCATCTGCCTTGACTGGCCTAATAGTCTGAGGGTCGAGATGCGTTTGCTGTCGTGCGCTAACACGTCCTCGTGCTAGAGTCCTAACGGTGTGAATCAACGGGAAAACCTAGAAGCATGATGGAAGAAAAAGCGCAGCGCACGGCCTGCTTCGTGGGATCTAGTTGCACCCGCGAGAACGAAGAAAGTCACGAATGAGCGAGGACGGAGACATACGGTGAGGAACTGGACCGCGTGGCCAAGGAAAGAACATCTCGCGGGCCTCGATAAACACGCGTGGCGGCATCACGGACCTCGGCTCTGGTCCGATTCTCGCCTCCGTAACACGCAAGTGACGGCGAGGTGGATAAGCTTTGTTTTTCTGTTGGCCACACGTGCTTTCGCCGCCGCGGTAGCTTGACACATATTCTCACGAGCCTAGACAGATATTTGGGGCCAGAGATGTTGATAGAGCGGTATGAGTGACGGGGCGAAACATTATCTCATTACGGAGTTGATACGGTGGTCGAAACTAAAGTACTTCAGGACTCAATACTACTACATAGACAACTCAATCTACCTGCAGAGTGACTTTGTGACACGCCTGACGGACTTAACGAGAGTCATCTCATTACGAACATCGTTGACATAAGTAACCACATGCTTCTATCACATCCTGAGTACGTGGTCAGACGTACGGATGCCCGGCGTTCATTCCCGTGAAGCTCGCCGCTCGCGGCGGCGGGGTTATCTCGAACGCCGGCGACGATCCGTCGTACTCGCCCGCCAGTTCCGTGGTCCTACGCATCCATCACCCCATTCGTATTGCGGCCGACCAGTCACATTGGCCGGTTTACTCGCCAGCAACGAAGTTACTGTTTTCCTGCCAGCCAGCCGCAAAAAGCAAAACACTTGCAAAACGCTCTAATTCATTGGGAAGGGTTTGTATGGTTGGCTGGTGATGGTGGTGGTGGGATGGTATCGTGGCATCTCTCATGTCCTTGGCAAGACATTCTGTCGCCTAAGCGAGGTCAGTTTCCTGTAGCCACTTTGGCCCATGTATCGCCAGATAGGACGGCAAGACGAGACAAGCCATGGAGGTCCATCAAACATTGAAGCGAGACATTGCAATCAGCTGTTATTCAGAGTTCTAGTCTGTTCCTCTCAGTCGATGGCTGCACCGCCTCTTAAGGCACTTGGAGCTGAGCCCTGGCTGGCACTTTACAAGCCCCCCCAATTGCCTGCAGTAATGAGCGTACTACGGCTTTGAGGCTTTCGTATGTTCCTACGTCTCTCTCGTGGATAGTGGGGATCGATTTCTGGTGGCGGGGGATATTTCTTCAGTGTCATTCATCCAGCAGTGAGACCACTATTGCCCGGTCACACGACCGAGTCGTTGGGGAACAGAGTGGCACCGGGGACGTGGAAATGCGTGGTGACTCGTGAGAAGCACACGAACGCCGACTGCGGCCCCCCATTTTCCGTTTGATGAGAAAGGAGGCCACGGTTACCCTCACTTTACGACTGATACCTTTACATGATTATCCGCGCCTTCATCACCGTCAGCCCGGTCTGCCGAACCATTGAGCTATGCCAGGGATGCGTTTCCACACCGTAGGAGTCAAGTTGGCAAACTCCGCGATTATTACGTCGTCTGGACGGCACATACATACCGGCTGGGACTGTACACTTGTTCGCTTCCCGAGGTGCCCATACTTCCTACGAACCTTTTCATAAGAACCAATTTGGGTTAATGAGGGGATGACGAAGAGCGTCAACCTCTGAAACACTCTCGAGGAGCGGCCGTGATCGGCATCAGCCAAGGCTCAGCGTCACGGGCGCTAAGTACACATAGCAAAAGCATCAGCCCTGAGCCTGTGAACTGTGTACTTTGTAGGGCCTCTTTGGGGTCCAGCCTTCGAGGTGAGGTGGCCTTGTGGGAGCACTGGGGGGTCACATCAGCGTTCAATGATCGGACGAAAGTTGGACGTTTAGGCCCCTCCCCAGACCTCGGACTGGGCCAAATTATCGATACGAAGCAAGGGGTGGGCGGGTTCAAGGTTTCAATGTCGCCATGTTGCGAAGCTGTAATTTCAAGGACAGTCTGAATGGACAACTGTACATAGAATGCAGATCGGTTCGTTTGCTCACGGCCAAGATTAAGAGTGAACCGAAAAGAGGAACCGCGAAAGATAGCTGCCTCATCTACGATAATGCAAGATAAAGCTCTCCGCAGAAGCAATGTCCCACCCGTATCAAAGGCCCACGGGTCATCTGAGATAAATCACTCTGGGGTAAGCTGCAACTTGTGTGAGAGGGAGAGCAAGGAGATTGGGACCCCTTCGAATGGAGGAGGGAGGTTAGACACCAATTAGGAAAGGACCCATGAAAGCCCGTTTTCTAGTTCTGGAAAGTCGATGGAGAAGGATTTGTGGCACAGGGCCGGCGGCGCTTGGGGACCTCCCAAGTTCGTGGGAAACTCTGGGGAACTCCTGGCCGTCCGTGAGCACTTCTCTTTCCCTTACTTGCAAAGCATGGATAAGAGAGTTCAGAGGAGCGCCAGTGAACAGATAACACTGGTTGTGCGAACAAGATACGGGACGGGATTGACCGTAAGGATGCTTTGAACAGGTCTGCGACGCGATAACCAATGTCGAGCGGGCGCGATTATACTTCTGTCCCATCTGCAGGTCGAAAGGAGTGCAGTGTCATACGACCAATGAGACCAAGGCAAGTGAGCAAGTGAAACAGAAGCCCAAGGAATCCAGTCGTGAGATTGTACGAGGTAAACAGCTGGCGTTGTCGGCTGGCGTGCTGACTGTTTGAGAGGCACAGAGGCTGGCAGGAGCTTACCTTAGGAAGGAACTAGGTTCCGTGCACCGTCTCTGGACAGTCGTGAGTGCCTAGGTATGTACTGTAACGGAGGGGTTGAGAGCACCGTTGGGTAACGGTCGGCCAGTAATGTTCTCAATCGGGTACAAAGTAATACCTCTAGGTAGACTCCGTATGAGTGTTCGGTTCTTGACTCTACCTCTCGAACTCTCAGTACCATACCCAAAGTCACCAAACTCTCCACAGTCGCCTTTAGTTAGAAGGAGGCAAGAGCAGGCAATGGCAATGGGCAATCTGGCAATGAGAGTTGAACAACTGTCCTGACTCCTGACTACGTGACTACTCTGACATATCCACCGAGACTTTTTGTTGGGACGGGAGTCATAGGACTGGGCAACTGACGTGACGAGTTGCAAATCTGCTACTATTCTTGTTCAGGGGACCTGGGGACCTGGGGATCGTGGACGTGGCCTGTAGGCTGTATCCGTACCGCGGCAATGCACTCCAATTTCGGTCCACGGCCAAATGACCAAATGGCCAAATAACGATATTCTTCAGCCATGATCCAGGTCCACGTTTTCCGAGAAGACTGGATCCCTCATGATTTCCGAGTACATACGCAGTAAAGAGAGAGGAAAATCGGGGGACCCGTTGCGTTGCCACTCTATCTTTGGAAGCTAAGCCATAACAGGCACGTCCATTCAGTCGAGATATCCAGATCTGCGAATCAGCATGGATAGCTTATGTAAAACGATACCCAATAGGAATAGCCGTGGTCGTGGCGTGGATGCTAAGCAGTCACGGGGTCTTCCGAATTCCAGGGACGGATAAGGCGACCTTACCTAACCAGAATGATGAAAGTTCACGATCAATGGAAGTCCACTGAGAGCGTAACATAACATGTAGAGAAAGGACCTCTTTTCCCCCCTGACAATATCCACACGGTGGCTCATTCCGGCACCGCGTACACTGTCCAAGGGAACACTCTCGGCAGTTTGCCATGTTGTATTCGTTCAAAGTACTCGGACTGGATAACCGATAATGCAAATGCAGGCCCAACTCAGTGAGGCCAGAGTCTCTGGCGGCTGGCCGGCGCTGCTGGTACCGTACCTGGCAGGCGAGACTTTGTGTTGGCGCCAGGAGCGAATGAGAGTCTGGCGATGGTCTTCTGGCACTATGAATTGTTAGTTTTGGATCTAAGGCCGTCTGGACCCCGTCGATCGCCTTCCCTCATTGTGTAAGAAGGGCAAAAAGGTTGCGCGCTTCCCGCTGCGACCGCCCTACTCTCTATCTCTGTTCGTCGATGCTGCAGGCGGCAGACGATTTGGAGCGCCGTCGCAACGGGAAGGGAGGCCTGGCTTGTCTGGCACCCCGGATTGTCGACGGCCTTGACTGGCTGGCGACGGCTGCCGTGGCAGAAAGAAACATATGTACAATGACCTGGAGCATGGCTTGGCTTTTCCTGGCGCTGGCAGCCTGCATGCATTCCGCTGGTTTCGCAGTACGCGGCAGTCATGTCGAAGTTGGAGCTGTCCTCGCCCAGCCGCTGGGCGAGCTGTACTTGTCGACCACGTACCCCCAGGGCGGTGTGGCGACTAACGACGCATCCAAGTGGATCATACTTTCCAAGGACGGTTGGTACTGACTGGCTGTGCCTATGGTGGCTGTCAGGTACGTAGCCGGCAGTGCATAATGCAATAGGTACGCTGGTTTTCGGTACGGGTGCTCTGAACGGAGTGGCAGTACGGAAAATTGCTTGGGCTACCTCCATACTGGCGTCGCGTCCATGGGACAGTAGGCCCTCCGTCAAAACATGATCACCGTTCATCATCGTCTACCGTCCAGCGATGATCTACCGTGTAGGAATAAACGTTTGAGCACGTTCCTTCCTGGGCATTTGCAATACCTTGGCTTCTCGGTGCCATCTATTGACTTCGATTGTACTGTACTTCTCTCCTCTACAAGCCAATTGTCTTCCTCATTCGCACGCCTACTTCCATAATAAATCACACGAGAGTACTGCCCTGCAACAACATGTCATCACTTGCACGCAATACGGTCGTTCAGGTCTCGCCGTTCCAGTAATCAATGTTGCACGAAGCCGCACAGCGATAGAGCTAACGAGAAGTGAGAACACCCAGAGAGGGGAAAAAGTTCGAGACCTCGAGTGTTCAACCCCAGACGGTCCCTTGCAGCCACTTCGCACATCACACCTTGGACCTTCATTGCCAGCGAGTTTGCGAACGTGCGAACGTCCCTCCCCCCCTCCCCCCGGTCGAGCAGCCTGCCAGCCATTCGCGGATTCATGCACTTCGCAGGGGTTCGCCCGCTGTCTCAAGGAAACTTCCCACATCTCGAACCAAGTTTCCGAGAGGTCCTTGTCAGTCGCACTGTCCCGCCGGTCAATCTCCCTTTCCCCCCTGAGATTGGGTTTGCGAGATACATCTGATGCTACTGAGATTACCTGCCATCTCCCGCACCGCTGGTCCCCTCTATGGCGTACCTTGCTACCGGACTTCGTCATAGTTACGCTGCTGCACGAGTTTAATTGCCTTGCGGGCACCCCTCGCGCCAGCGTTCTTCGCAGGTTGTTATTGTTGCGGCATCCGTATTGTTGATGTTTATGTTGATTAACAAAGTTATTCGGCTCCGACCCCGTGTCTACTTGGTTGCGTCGGTCAATCTACACAACAACTACACAGGGCGCGGCAACGCATTCTCGTCTTACGTATCAACACAGTGGTATCGCCGGCTACCCAGAGATTGCGTATTTTAGACACTGCTTTCGTCTTGAATTCGCCATCCATCGAAGCCAATGGAAGTCACTGCGGAAGGTTTTCGTGCCGTGTACTCCGTTATGAGCAATCAAGTTTATCAATCAAGGCGGTCCCGTTGAATCGTCCGCTTCGACGATGAGTAACAACACAAAGCCCCGTCTACCATTCGCCGGAACGGGCACCGAGTTCCCTCTTTGCACTCTCCTTTTTCTCAGTGGATTCTGGAGAGGATCCCGACAAGTACGACTCTTGCTTCCTCGCTGGCAGCTCCCAGTTCCAGCAGGCAACGGGGCCGGAGAGATGATGAAATGGGCTCTCAAGACGGGGCGGACGGGTACAAGTTGGGCGAGAATCGCCGTGCCGGGACCCGTTGACTATCCACTGTGGGTTATGTCAATAGTCAGCTGGTCTGGTACACCTGGGCCTGGACGCTGAGTGATGCAGTCGTGCTCCTATGTGTTCCTCTGCTCTTGGCTAAGCTGATGAGGAACCTCACTCGGTAGACGGCTGCCAGCCCATTCGGTACTTAGCTCACACCAACTATTTGCACTAGGTTTACCAAGGCACATGGTTGACTTTCCAAGTTGACCTCGAGGCTCGTCAGTGCGTCAGACTCAGCCAACACTGGGCACCGTGAACCCGTTATGACACCGCTGATGGCACAGTGTCACAGTCTTCACACCCTCAGCGCTCACCGTCCGAGGTCTGGACCTCCAAGCGTGGAGCTGGCTAACGGAGTGGTAAACGGAAGCCAAAGTCGTCTATGTACAATGTCTACAGGCGCCTTGAGAGAAGACACAAACATCAGAACAGGCCATTCAGAGACAGCAAGTGGGGCTTCTGGGCTGACCCGGCCTTTCACTCACTGGCTGTCTCTTTCGTCTGTTCTCTGCATAGGTACCTACTGCGTAGGCATGGAGAGAAAGCTGCCTCCCCCCTCCACAGTTCAGACACCTGACTGCTGTCTATGTCTGAGGTTGGTTGTCGTGTGTCTGGGGAAAGCAACAGAGCCAAAAGGGGGGCTGAGGTCTGAACAGACGGGAGCGAGCAATCGAAGTGTCGGTCTGTCGGTCTGGCTGACTGGAGTCTTTTCAGGCATGGCTGGGTTGCGTTGCATCGTTGCCAGCCCAGCGAGAAAGAAAGCCCAGTCGTGTCCTGCAGGATGATCAGGATAGCATAGGGTAGTGCATGCTATGACTGGGTAGCTACTAAGGTATACATACGGATAATATGCAGGAGACAGTTGTCTGGTGCTGGGGATTGGAGAGCGATGTGAGAGACAAGCAATCCTGCTTTGAATGCTGTCTGCAAGTTGGTCAAGCGTGCGTTCCGGTCGTCCCAGTCGTCCCACTCCCTCCCCCCATCATTCCACGTAGCGCGCCATGCTTCCTGGCGACTTGTCCCAGACTGTCCAGTACCTGTGCCAGGTGCCAGCCCCGTGTGTGCACATGATACGTACTCTTCCCCCACCGCTTTCTCGACCGTCCGTCACCCTTTCCCAAGGATGCTACCTCAGCATCCTCAGCATGGCTCAGGTAAGGAACCTATCCAGGTACCTAGGTAGCTCCCTCCCCACGCAGTAAGGCCAGGTACCTTACTGTGTGCCGATACTGACTGCGTAAGGTAAGGTAGACTTTCATTCCGTCCCAGTTCTCTCAGTTCCATCCAATACCCTCGTCTTGTCGGTACGTATCGCCGTAAGTGTACTTGCACCTCACCGTCCCGGAGCTGTCGCAATACGCAGTTCCCGGTACGTACTCCCGCGCTCGCCTTTCCACCCCCGGTCTGCCTATCTCGCTCCTGGGGTTCCTCGCTCTCTTGTCGCTCTGTCGCTCTGTCTCTCTCTCTCATCCCGTCTTATCCAAGCCAATCCATCCTCGTCCATTCACCTCCATCTTCTTCTTTGGCCGTCTTTTGCTCACACACTCTCTTCGCTCACTTCCACACCTCTCTTCCTCTCGCCTTGTATTCCCTGTCCTGCACCAGCCTACCCACCACCACCCATTTGCTTCATCCAACCTACCTTACCGTACGGTCCTCTCTGCCTCTGCCTGCACTTACCTACTTTACTCTAATACTCCCCCTTCATCATCCTCGCCCCTTCTCTTGCTTGTTTCCTCTACTCTACCATCCTTCAATCATCGTCGTCAACGGCCTCTCTTCCTCTCCTTGCTTGTTAGCCTCCTCTCCCCCGCCTCAACCTCCTCCCTTTACCACCCTTTCGCTCCGACCTCCTTATCAACTACTCGTCCATCAACAAATTCACCGATACTCGCAACGCCAGCTCCCGCGTGCCCACCCGCGAGTCATACTTGCAAGCAATCACGCAATCTCCTATCACGCTCTGCCATCGAGTTGAAGAGTATATCAATCAGTCAACCCATCGACAGAGATAGGATAAGAGAGGCCTCAGGAACCACGATTTCCTTACAATCTCCACCAGCCTCGGCAATTTGCTGTCATTGAACATTGACTCACACCTCGTGTCCTTTGACTCACTTTGGCCCTCGCCTTTGTCACTCAACATCCGTCCACGCTTTAAGCAACGACACCTCCCTCACCCATCCATCGAGATAAGAGCTACCCACCTCCCATCGACCGACACTCACCAACGACTCTCGTCTGTCGATTCGTTGTCACACACTGCTCAACGCTCGAATGCTTCCGTAGCCACTACTCTTCGCCGATCCCGGTAGTCAGCTTGCTTGCAAGCCGTTGCTATTCACACTTTCAACGACATCTACCCACGGCCATCGACTATCACGTCAACTGGCCTTTGTGCCTAATAGAGCCAGCAAACCAACGATCAACCGCATTAGCAGTTGGGTGCCATCTCGAAACAGTCTGAATCCTCTAGCTAGGAATCGACGCCTTCATTTCTCCTGCGAATCAACTATCCAAAGTTGACCTCGCGAACCCCTTGTTCGACCTTCGGGCGCCACTCTCTACACTTTTTCCAGCAAGCTTGCTCTATTTCAATGTCCTCATAACGATACTTCTTTGTCTTTTCCGGACCACATCGTCCAACCCCATAACGACCAATCAACCAACAACAACAGACTCTCGCTTTCATATGTCCGTCTCCAGCAAAAAAATACCCTCAATGAGCCTCTGATAAGTCAACGAAAAGGAGTTAGAAATTCGTCTTGTTTCCTGTTAGATTTGTTCTTTCAACCCTGTATATTCTTGGTAACAACCAAACCCGCCTCCTTCTCGATCTACAACAACAACAACAACCACAACCGACACGAATCCTACGCTGTTCACACCCATCCTTCTCGATCCAGCAACCACTCGAATCCTCCTTCCTCTGCAACGACGAAACCTCGAAAAGCTTGCTTTAAGGCTGTAACATCACCCTCGCCGCTACATCGTTGTTTCTCAATTCGATACCCCCGTGCTCCAAAGCTTCTTTTTCCAGTTTCGATATGGCATGCTTGAGAGACAACTTTCAGAATGGCGTGCTCCTCGGTGGTCGATATGAGACCATCTCTCCCCTCAACCATGGTTCCTTTGGCATGGTCTTCATGGCCAAGGACACCAAGACCAGCGAGACCGTTGCCATCAAATGCTTGACTAAGAAGGAAGCTGCTGATGAGTACGGTTTCGACTTCGCCATTGACGAGAAATCCGAGGAGCTTGTTCTCCACAGCCGTCTTGGATCTCACCCCAACATCGTCAACCTTCTCGACACCTTCGAAACCGATGCTCACCTCTACTTGGTTCTGGAGTTCTGCCCTCAGGGTGACTTGTACGAAGCCATACGCAAGGGCCACGGCCCTCTCGAGACGGAGCATGTCCGACAGTTCATGTTGCAGCTCGTAGATGCCGTCGACTACATCCACTCCAAGGGTATCTTCCACCGAGA